CAGAAAACACCCTCTCTCATAATTGGTCGAAGAACGCTCTACCGCATTTGAAAATGTGCAGAGATGGGGCGTTTTTGAACCGAATTCTGAGATAGGTCATTCCTCAATCAAATTCTGAGAAAGGGCGTTCTTCAACCAAATTCTGAAATAGAACGTTCTTGAAAAGTTTTCTCAGATAGGTCATTCTTCAATCAAATTCTGAGATAGGTCATTCTGCAACCAAATTCTGAAATAGGGCGTTCTTGAAAAGTTTTCTGAGATGGGCATTTTCAACTGGCTGCCGAGATAGGTCGATCTTCCACTCAGGTGTCGATATATGGATGTTCATATTGTATATACGTGACCCATTTTTTTATTAATACGGCGCTTTCTGCGTGACGGCAAGAGTGCATGCATACATATAATTACAAGTGGATAAAGTATTATCAAGATAAAACTTACGTCAAAATATATCGTAACCAGAACTTCATTTATAGAAACAAAAGTCCTGTGAGTTTAAAAAGCGCCAAACACTGCGCGCCATATTTGAATGCGTCTCGAAAAAACGCTAAATTTCCTTAGAGGATATTGACTATGTGATAAAAACCTAAGCCCCCCGCCCCTCACTCGGACCAAGCGTGGTTGTTTGAAAAACCGTCTAGTTTTGGAAAAGCCCATCCCTGGATTTTCGGGATGTCGTTATCACAATCCCGGGATCCCGGGATTAGTCCCGCGATTTAGATATCCGTTACTTTTCAACAACTTAAATCGAAAAAATCCTAGTATAAAATAAATAGTAAATAAATGGGTTTGACACCTACTTTTTTATCTTAAGGGACGTTTTTATTTTATTCTCTCTGACATCAGGATTTATTTTAAATGACCTTGTAATTTCAAAGATATGATTAATTCCAAACTTATTTAAAAAATTCAATGAAATGTGGAATAAAACAAGTAAGAGCAGGGCTGTCTTCGGATATGCCGTAAAGGCTGATTCACATACAACTTTCTTCGCTCTGCTTGATAGTTCTTTGCTTTGACATATAAGATCGATGTAGGCACATGCATGAGTATGCTCACATAAAAAACGTTTGAAGAAAAGCAAAGCAAAACGAAGCAAAATCTTGGGCAACTCTCAACTTTTGCCCGCTTTGGCAATCAGCTGTCTACATGTATCTTTTCTCGTGCGCTTGGAGTTGCATTTAATGACAAAAATAGGGTAAGTAGGAATTTTTATTGCTATTATTAATGCATATTATTATATTGCTATCTATTTTACCGATAAAAAATATGGAGGAAAAGGAGAACGCAAAAGCTGTCAAAGCGTTTATTGTAGCATACCTTCCGCGTTTCACGCTTTGTTGTCAAAGTTTGAACTGTCAAGCAAAGCGAGGAAAGTTGTATGTGAATGGCCCTTAAGCTTCTTACCTTTCATGAACATCCGAAAATTTTACTTTAACAGCCTACTGCATTTGAAATTACATAGTTGTTTGGGAGCTAAACAAAATTTTTATATCCACAGTATACATAGATGTACTTATATATAAAAAAAAGCATATCTAAAAAAACAGTGGTATGGAAGATATACCTTATAAACAGGGCCGAAAACTTTAAGCTTTTGCTTGGAATTGCTTATTTTGCTTATTCAGGGTTTCCAACCTTTATATTAACGATCATGCTTATTTTGCTTATTTCAATATATAAAGCCAAATACGGACCTCTTAGAAAACGGTCAAGAAATAAATTGCTATTATTTCGTGTGTGTGAATAGTAGTGTCCTAGGAGTTTTGACATCTGATATTTTACAGCCTGTTGTCTGACTTGTTCCTTCCGAAATAATGGAACTGGCATATATTTTTGTTGAAAACAAGGGTGCCAATAAAATTTTCAACTTATTCGTTGAACTAAAGAAATATTTAGAAATAATAACACAAAAATAAATTCGGTTTTATTAACCCGTAACATCAATTGCATTTCTGATCGGATACAAAAATTTTAAATCAATGGTTTGTCTGTACGGGTAAGCACAAGAGTATATTAAATTTGTTCGCATAACCGTTGTTTGTAACAGCCAAAACGAATCGAGATAGATATGGACAAATGTATACATAAATGATCAGAATGAAAAGAGAAGTCGATTAAGCCATGTCTGTCTGTCCGTCCGTCCGTCCGTCTGTCCGTGGAAACGATAACTCGAGCAACAATTGAGATATCTCAACGAAATTTGGTATGTAGGTTGCCGTTTATTCGCGGTAGGTTGAAAATTATTCAAATCGGACTAAAATTACACCCGCTCCCCTTATAATGGTAAATTTCAGAAATATGAAAACTCCGATATTTCAGTAACTGAGGACGCCAATTTACTTCAAGTTAATAGTTACAACAATCTCCTAACAATAAATAAGATTGCTATAGACTTTTAGGCGTAACACCGCCCCCTTTATAACTACAAACGTGTACCACGGTAACCACTTCATCGGTTTCTACCTAACTAGGCTCATTTATATCATTAAGCCTAACTCTGGATATTATCGAAAACGTTTGAAATCTGGTAAACACCCCAACTTATCATGCAAAGGTAGTTCAGAGGAAGTTGAAACGACGATATTTGATACCTGCGCCGGGTATATAAAGTTCGGTTTCGCCCGAACTTATACTTCTTTACTTGTTCTTGCTTATTTTCTTCGGCACCAATCTAAATGATTTTTACTGTTGTCTGTGATCGGTATGTAAAGGGGTTACACAATTTAATGCGCTTAGCTGCCTAAATAAAGGAGTTATATCGCACAATCTTGTATTTGAACAAACTTATACAGTACCGATGTTGACGATTTTCTCAGTAGCGTGTGTATTATAATTTAGAAAATAGCACACGAAATTTCTCGGTTTTCGCTGTCCAATTAAAGGAGTTTTAAAGTAAAACCATATCTGAGCAACCAGTTGTATGGAGGCTATAGGTTATAGTGACCCGATATTTGTAATTTTCACTGTAAGTATTGTATTGATAATGGGTGAAAGCAGTGCGAAATTTCATAATCCAAGCTGCATAAATGGAGGAGTTATAATAAAAGACCTCATATCCGAACAATCAGTTGTATGGGAGCTATAGGTTATAGTGACCGGAACTTTGTCATTTTCACTGTGTCTATAATGGGTGGAAATAGTACAAAATTTCATGTTCCTAGCTGCATAAATGGAGGAGCTATAATGAAAAATCTCATATCTGAAGAACCAGTTGTATGGGAGCTATATGTTATAGTGGTCCGATTTGTCTGGTTCCAACAAATGATTAATATATTATAAAAATACACCCACAAACGGGCAGACGGACATGGCTCAATCGACTCAGCTCGACGTTCTGGCCAAATAAGTGTACATTTCTTATTCTGGTACTTACAACCATCGTACCAAATTTGTAATACCATTTCATGCTCATGAAAGGTATAAATATGGGTACCAAATGAAAGAGAAAATTTCTTTAGAATTAAAAAAAAATAAAATTTTTGCATACACAAGGAAGAACAAGTAATTTTTTAAGCTGATAAAGTTAAAAGGACGAAATTCGAGGATGTTATCGTTTATATAAGTGCTTAACATATAATTTCTTCAAAAACAAGTATTGCGAAATTTCAAGGATACAATTTTAAAAGGACATTTTCAATACTTATTACTCCACAAAAAAGGTGAACCTGATTGAATTCTAGAGAATTTCTTCTTTAATTTGATACCCATACTTCTTCTCTAAGCACATTTCACTGAATTTTTTAAATCATTTTTGTATTACTGACGTAAGAGTAAGAAACTAAAAACGCAATTTTACTATATTTGGCCCATGGTTTCGCAAATATTTTGATTTTTGTGTGTAAAATTTAATATCGCACGGTGTTATATTTATAGACATTTATAAAAAAATATTAATTATTAAATAAAGAAAGAAATATAGCCAATACTGGTCAAGAAAAGGACCCTGCAAGAACAGTGACCATCATTTGACAAATCATTTGACTGGCAAGGCTGATAGAGATTTCTGTCACTGGCTACCTACAAGTTTCTATCACATTCTAAAGGGCAGTGTGAAAAATCTGATGTAAACATTTGTGTACATATGATCTTCCGTCTTCCTCCAACTTATGGCCTTATATATTGGTCTCTTTTTAACCAACGCAAAATTTGCAAATGTGTTAGTAAGATAAATGAGAATGTGTTAGTTTCCATCACACAATTCTTGTAGGGGAGTTTTTATTATTGCCATCAGTGCAAATTACAAATCCCGGTATTATTTGCCAAGAATCCCGGGATTTTCGGCACCTAAAAAGGCCGGGATCCCGGGATTACTAGCCCTAGCGACAACACTGGTTATAGTCAACATCGTTAATGCAAAGCTAATTCGTGGCAATTTTTAATCGAAACTACCCTATCCCTTTGAAGAAAAAAGCCAACTTTCATAAAATCCGTTCCCTGGCTATGGCTCACTCAAATAAAAATATATTAAACGTTTATAAATTTTATGACATTAAGGCAATGTGTCTAGTTATGACACATTAGTTGCGTTCCAGATGCTCACGATATTCACGCAGCTTTTTTTTTATACAAGAAAAGCGTTCCGGGTGCCAAAAAACCTGTAAGTCAAAGCACTTTTGTGAGAGTAACTTGCGCTCTCTCTCCAGTCAGAAGTTGCAGGTTTTAGTCCGAAGTTTTTCTTCCTGCAAGTGCATGAAAAGTGTCAAACGATAGGCAGGGTTGCATTTGTAAACAAAAACACAACGCGGTGAAAGCAATGAACCTTAAATGTGTTAAAAAATGGAAGTATTTATTTACAGAAAAAGGGGTTTTTAGCGTTCCATATCTTTTACTGTGTTGCTCTCGCTCCTCTCTTTCAAGAGAGTAATTTTGTGATTTGACAGTTTTACAGGTTTTTACACGAAGTTATCTGGAACGCAACTACATATTGTAAATCGCACAAATATGTACATACTTATGTTATGGTATCTAAATCATTAAAACATCTGTCTTTTTCATAGATTTGTGAAAATATTTCTGCATTAGAACTGGAGATATGCTATCATGTAGAATCAACTACTCCAATTGGAATCGATACACAGCAAGAATTTCTGCTGCGGTGGTTACTAAAAGAGGCACAATGCGACGTATCTTCATTAAAGAATAAAAGCTCATTCATTAGCCAATCCCATTCCTGTCTGATCGAGATAGGTCCACGTTTTAATTTTTCCACTGCTTTCTCAACAAATTGCGTTAATATATGTCAAAATGTTGGCTTGAATCATGTGAATCGAATAGAGTCGTCTACTCGTTATTTTATTGGCCTAAATTCAATTACATCACTTACAGAAAAAATGAAGTCAGAAATCATTGATTTACTCGCTGATCGTATGACCGAATGTGAATATACCAGCCAAAATTTACCGATAAATAGTTTTAATGAACATCTACCCAAAAGCCAATTGCCTTGGTATCACGTGCCTATTTTGTCTGATGGCCGTCATGCGCTGGAGAAGGTTAACTCGGAACTGGGACTAGCATTTACCGAATGGGATATAGACTACTACTTTCTCCTCTTTAAAGAAGTCTTAAAAAGAGATCCAACAACAGTAGAACTCTTCGATTGCGCTCAGAGTAATAGCGAGCATTCCCGTCATTGGTTTTTTCGTGGGAAGATGATCATCGATGGACAAGAACAACCTGACTCTTTAATTAAAATGATAATGAATACACAAGATCATACAAATACCAATAATACTATTAAATTCAGTGACAATAGTAGTGCCATTCGCGGTTTTTCTTACAAATCAATACGGCCGCAAAAATTTAATGAACCGAGTCGCGTCCAACTCACGGCAACAGAATCGGATTTAATTTTTACAGCGGAAACACATAATATGCCAACGGCAGTTGCGCCATTCAGTGGAGCTACGACCGGTACTGGTGGCAGATTAAGGTGAGTTATTATTAATAACTAGAGAAGATAAAAATATGCATTTGCATAAAAAGCATATTTTTGCCATTTTTGGATATAATAGCATATTTAAAGGTAAAGCGCATATTTTAACTATAAAGCATATTTTCGGCATATTTATTGTTAAAAGATTATTTAATCTTTTGTTAGTGTTTTTTAAACTTATATAAATGCATCCCTTACATACATTTTAATTTTAATATAAAAATTTGGCAGGATATAAAGTGCCATAATAAAGTGTATAATATTCATACAGTTGTCGCTTTATCGCATACACAAAATGTCTAAAGTCATGCACTTGTCAAATCTGCGCGCGCAGCTGTTCGCAAAATTTTTTGATTTCTTTGTTAAATAAAATGCCAATGGGCAATGAAAATTTCGGTGCACTCCTTACGAGAATAGTAAATGAGCACAACGACGAACTACGAAGCGACGGTAGTGTTTTGTATTGTAAAAGCTGTGATAGAAACCTAAACGCGTCTAGGACCTTTCAAGTAACACAACATTTTTCTACCGCGAATGCACAGAAAAATCTCCACATCCGTTTTCTATGAACTTGTGTAAAATGTTTTTAAAATCGAACATTCCTCATCTGGTTCAGTTTTTGCAAAATGATACAAATCAGATCATTCCATCTGAAAGTACGCTTCTTCAAAGGTATGTGCCATTGTTATATGGCGAATGCATGGAAATGATGCGCAAAAAGGCTCACAATAAAAATATTTGGATTTCCATTGACGAGACTACAGATACGGAACAACGACTGATAGCAAATTTTATATTTGGTATACTGGATGTGAACGACGTTGAGGAAAAAGATAAATCATATTTACTGAATGTTTGCGAAATAGATGCAGCAAAGCCACCAATATTGCAGCGTTCGTTAACAACTCCTTAATTATATTGTGGCCTGAAGGTTTGCTCCTTTTATTTATTTTAACACGTGTTTATATTGTAAGTCCTTTTTTCATTGCAGGAATTGAATACGAACACGCTCTGGTTGCAATAACCGATGCGGCGCCATATATGGTTGATGCAATGAGATCTTTGAAGACTTTGTTTTACAAGATGCTTCATGTAACATGTTTCGCGCATGGCCTTCACCGTGTTTGCGAATTTATTCGTAGCAAATACGAAGACGCTTATATCGTGCATAAAATCAATTTTCGTAAAGGTAAAATCCTTACATGTCAATGGTAATTTTTACAATAACGTCTGAACATCTTTCTAAGGTACCATCTCGCCGAAAGAAATTTAAAACAACGTATCCTCAACTACCATTGCCACCAATCAACAATACGTTGGGGCACTTGGCTGAAGGCAGCCGAATATTACAACGAGAACTTTTTTGAAATAAAATCCTTGGTAGAGAGCTTGAGTGATGCAGACAGCGAATCGATTCGCATCGCTAAAAATTTGCTTGCAAACGATACATTTGTTAGTGACTAACAGCCGCACTCAGAGTCGTTTAATGATTACTTAAGGTGTCCCTCAGTAACGATTTGAAAAAATTCCCTCTCAGAGTCAGCTAATGTTTCATTAACGGCATTTAATGAACATTAAAGTTGAGTAAAGAAAAACCTTCACTTAACTTTTTAACGAGAGATTTTGACAATCTTTTGTTTATTATTTTATTATTTTCGTTTGAATTTGTATTAGATTTTTAAAATAGTGGAAAAATGTCCGATCTAGAAGACTTCATGGACTTTGCGGATTATGTAAGAAGGCACAGGGAAGTGGGATTGAGGCGCTATCTTCGAGATTATTCTGATCCTTTCACGAAGTACTCAAATCGGGAATTCCATGCACGATATAGATTTACGCCTGAAACTATTAAGAATGTTATTTTGCCTTTGGTGTCTTCTGAGTTGGATAAGCCAACCAGAAGAGGATTACCATTTCACCCGGAAATAATGTTATTGGTAACACTTCGATATTATGCCACTGGCAGTTTTCAGGTTGGTATTGATACAATTATTTACGAGAAGATAACATTTGAATCTGTCTCCATATTATATGTATTATTTTCCAAGGATGGATGTATGCATATAACTATTTCAAGAAACAGCTGAAACTATATACATATGTACATATACATACATATATTCTTAGCATATCATATATATATAAATTAAAAAAATTAATTAAATTATATAAATTATTATTTATCTTGGAACTTCGACGTTCTTTAATAAGTTATACCAACATACATATGGAAATAAACGTGTGAATTTCCAATGCCTCAACTTTTGGATCTAATGAACGATAACATATGACTATCCATTTCAATTACAGAAACTGGATGGAGATGTGATGAACATATGTCAACAGTCAGTTTCGCGAATAATTTTTCAAGTCTCTACTTCAATAGCGCGAAAAACCAAAGACCTCGTTAAATTTCCATCTACTGCAGAAGAATTTAATAGAGTAAAGTAGGGCCATATTTTGTATTCTGAATTTCGTTAATACATAATAAGTATTTTTACATACTATGTATAAAAATGCTTAATTATTGTTGCACATTTTTATTTGTAGGCAACAGTTTTATGAATTGGCTCATTTTCCTGGAGTAATTGCGTGCGTAGATTGCACACATATTAAAATAAGAAGCCCAGGAGGATTATCTGCTGAGGTATACAGAAATAGGAAAGGGTGGTTCTCTATCAATGTACAAGCAGTCACTGGTCCAAACTTGGAATTTTTTGATTTAGTAGTTCGTTGGCCTGGGAGTACGCACGATAGCTTTATATATAACAGCAGTTCGGTTAAGCAAAGATTCAATAGCGGGGAATTAAAAGGAATACTCTTAGGTGACAGTGGATATGCTGTCAGTAATTTGCTTTTAACTCCGTTTTTATCACCAAGCTCAACTCCACAAAAGGAGTACAATAAAAGCCACATTAAAACAAGAAACACTGTGGAAAGATGTTTTGGAGTTTGGAAGCGAAGATTCCCCTGCCTTCACGTTGGAATGGGTATTAAGCTGGAGACCGTTGTAGCTGTTATATGCGCATGTGCAGCATTGCATAACATTTCCATCTTAGTAGATGACTTGCTACCAGTCAGCTCTGATAACATCGAAACTTTTAATGTCGAAGCCTCACCAATCAATGAAAACTCCAACAGCAACGGTTTTATTGCGCGTCAATCTCTGGTAGACAGATTTTTTTCCTAAGATCTTTTGCTACAAATAAAAGTCTTTAGATGTTGAAATATTAACTATGTCTTTAATTTATTGAACGATTTTTTTTTGCCTCTTCAAAATCTATTTTAGCCTTTTGTAGTAATACTTGGTTTTTTTGCTCTTCCAACAAGGCTGCTCTTTTTTTTATTTGCTCAACTTCCAACTGTAAAAGAAAATATGCATATACAAATATTTAGCTTTACCAATGCATAGTTATTATATACCTGTGTTTTGACTAATTCAAGCTTAAGCTTCTCTCTCTTCTCTAGGTACCTTACCCGTAATGCTGCCTCCCGCCGAACGTAGTCGCTTGGTCTGCGTACTTGCTCCTTTTCCACTTTTTGTTGGTGGCCAGTTTCATTACTGTGTACTATGTAGTTAAAAAGCAGCGAAAAGAATTTTAGTATATCGTAGATGACTTCTTTCGTATTTTATAGGTACAGTACCTGCAACATTTGGTTCACCTTCATAATTTATGCTTATGGCTTTGAAGTTTACGTCGGATTCCTCATTTGCTTCCGTGATCATATCTAAAAAATGTTGGTTAAAAAGTGATTTGCCTTATATCTTAAAGGACATACCTAAAAACTCAATGGAGCTAGATTGGCTATTTTCCATGTTTAGCAAAATTGCCCCATCGCTGTCAAAGTTGTTGGAGATTTCGCAAATCATTGCGGGAGCAGCCTAATAATTAAATTTTATGACGACAAGACAGTATGAAGATAATAGTTAAGTCCCTAACAGCGCACTTATACGATATGAATGTATTTACATATCGATGGTCCTGTACAACAACGACACAATTCAAAATTCAAAAAAATATAAAAACTGTTACTACTGTTAAGTGACTCATGTATTTAATCCTTGTCGAATCCATGTCTCATCTTTTGTACTTACTTTAACAATCCTTACTGCTTACTTTAGTAAGGGATGGAAATGGATTAGACAAGGATTAGAGACAATAATCACTTAACAGTAGTAACAGTTTTTATTTTTCGAATTTTAATTTGTGTCGTTATTGCACAGGACCATCGATATGTAAACGTTTTTTTTTTGTATGTACTCGTAAGTAAAGTAGCATTTACATATATGTATATCGTTACTTTAATATAGAAAGGCTCTATTTCACATAATGCTCAAAATCAATCAATAGGTGAATTTAGGATTTTTAGCTAGTTACGATTTTTTTTTTGTATTTCAGCGACGATGAGAGATAGGGCCTTTCTATATTAAGATAACGATAAGCAAATAAATATCGTGTAAGAGCGCTGTAAGGATACATACCTCTTCCACCATGTCCACTATTGCTTCTACTTGCCGTGATGTTGATGGCACCGGTGGCCCACCGCCCGTTCGAAATAAATTACCCCTTTCTACTGCCCGAGCCTTTCGTGCGACTGCCTTCATATTTTCCCACGCCCTCCTTAATGTAACCGTCTCACGCTGAAATAAACAATATGGAAACACGAAATACTAAAGGTGGCCTCAAGCAGATGCGATAATACCGGTGCGATACGATATCGTATTTTTTGCGATAACGATAAAAAGCAAACGCTCTCAAACAGGTGAGATACGACACACTGCGGTGCTATACCGCAGTGGTTTGTATTGATCGCATATCGTAAAATTTTTTACCGCATCTGTTTGACGCTACCTTAAGGCGTATAATAAATTGAATAAATGCATTAGGTCGGGTATTTTTTCGACATCGTTCCTAGCACATTCGTATTCTACATTAAATACCAAAGAAAAAATTCCATTATAGCTCCAAATTTTGAGCCCCCCAAAATTTTAAAATAACCTATCTTTAATTAATACTAAGTTAATGTCTACACTTAATATTAGCGGGAGTGTTATGAAGGTCATATTTTTAATACTTACTTATGTCTTAACGTAGCATTAATTGAAGATAGCTTTTTCAAGTTTGGCGGGCTCGAAATCCAGAGCTATGCTCTAATGGAATTTTTTCTTAGAAATTTATCTAGAATCCGAATCTGTTCCATTCGTTCCATACAACCCGCCTTAAAACGCATATAATTTTACCTTGTAGACATTCGAATTTGAATTGAACTCATTCGTAAGCAAATCCCAAGCTTCTTTCTTTCTCAAAATTGATTTTCCATCCGTATGCTTCGATTCTATAATAGGCCGCTTCTTTATTAGTTGCCCTAATATAGCCTTTTCATCGGCAGTGAAATTTGATACACGCTTTCGATTTACTTTTGCTTCTTCCTAAATTAAAACAAACATTTGTATACGTACATAGAAATTTCCTGGGTGAATTAAGAGCAGGTATTGCAGTTCTTGAATGTGGTAACATGGACAAGCTTTAGCTTTACTATAGTTTGTGCAAGAACCTTTTAACTTGTCGCTTCCAAGAAACAATTGCATTGTAGCTTGACTTGTAAAATCGCATTCCTAAAACGACTGTATTGCAGTTTTCAAATGTGTTTCGAAGAGTTATTACATACAATTCTTTGGGGATGTACAAAACCCACCACACTTCTGGTAGCCCTAACTGACCAGATCACATCTTCGAGTGTGAGCCACTCTCAAAATAGACAAAAACGCTTCTCATCACAATTGTGCTAGCTAATAATTGATTGCCTGCACTATTCTGGAGAGCGTTGCCCAATACTATCTCTCAGCACGGACTTTTCTTTGCAGGCTGGGTACTAAGTAGTGCAGCAATGGACATAAAAGTGGTCATAAATAAGCCGAGACACGTCCAGGACTTAATATAAACCATATTAATTCTAAAACACATACATTCATTCATATGTAAACTATGCATTGTTAAATTATTACAAAAGAAACTCGGAATCAATCACACAATACAAAGAACCAAGTTTTTTCTATGGAGTCCGTACAGCACCAGGGATTTTTAAGAATTTCGCTAACCTCGCATCATTGGAGTTTATAAGGAAGCGCGATCTATACACACTTAACACTGGTGATCTGGTTAAAAATGAATGCAGCGAGTACAAATTAATAGGAGGAAGGCCTAAACTACGATCTTGCTTTACTTCTACACCGATACTTACCATTATAATATAATTATTATATTATGTATGCTTTCTTGCCTTGGTGCTGATAGAAAAACAATGAAATACGTATTTCGTATGAAAGCACAATATAATCTAACTTCAAATATTTAATTTTTTGTCAATTTGAAGTGAGTGTTGCTAAAGAAAAAGAGGGAAGAAATTGACAAGCCCTTAAAGTTTTCATTAACCAATGAATCATTAAAAAATGACTCTGAGAGGAAACATTAATTAACAGATTTAACGATCATTAGTTAAGTGCCCGTTAGAGCTAATTTAATGAACGTTTCTGAGTGCGGCCGTTAGCCTTTATAAAATCAAATTTTGCTGTAATTCATCGCACCATAACCACGCTAGAGACCAAAGGATTATGTTTGAAAAGTTTCTTCAATTCTAGTAGGTAAAAGTTCAAATTTCAAGACGCTAGAAAATCGCATTGATTTTTAATAATTTTTTTGCTGATGGTACTATGCGTTTTCTCCCATACAAACGAAACCGTCGAGCATACTTTATATAAAAATAAAAATTAGTTTTATCTATTAGAATGGAAGGAGCTACAAAACTGCAAACCCCAAATTCTGAATAAAAAGTTTAAAATTTCCGGGTGCAAATGTTAAAGTTTGTTGAATTTTCATAATTTTTGTACGAAGCTTAAAATGTAGATTTATGTGGGGCTGGTTGGGTAAACTGCTAGACTTTTATTAAAAAAATATAAACATTAAATAAACAAAAGAAAAATAGCCAAAACTAGTCAAAATGTCACTTGACTTAATCAGCTGACCACAAGAGTATATATGGAAAATTCCATGTCAACTGAATTATGACTGCGATCAAAAATTGGTTTCTAAATTTTCATTTTCGTTTGTTAGGTTGACTTTGAATTGTCATATACATATGTACATATGTGCCTTTTTCAGTACCATTTACGAAAATTCTATATACGGGGACTCATTCAAGTGTTCCCATGTTGAGTTTTTAATATCCATAATGTTTTTCAAGCTAATTTTTTTATTGTTTTATAAAAATATTTTTCATGCTTTAACCAAAACTTATAAATCAATTTTTCAAGCTTAATACAAACTTTAGATAAATTCAACAAATTTACAAAAAACAAGTAAGAAAGTACAAGTTCGGGCGGAGCCGAACATTAAATACCCGGCGCAATTATTAAATATATGTTTCCACCTTTCCGAAAGCTACCGCTACACGATAAGCCGGGGTGTATACATTTTAAGTAAATTAGCGTCCTTAAATTTCGAAATATTGCAGTTTCAAGCATTTCTGAAATATACTGTTATATGAAAAGCGGTCGTAATTTTAGTCCGATTTCAATAATTTTCAACGCTTTGCTTTTATGTGGCAAGCACAATAACCATACCGAGTTTGGTTCAAATTGCTAGAACGGTTAGCGAGATACATATATGTGATCATAAGTGGGCGGTGCCACGCCCATTTTCCAAAATTGTATCATAAGCGTATTTCTTGGTAAAAAATTGTTGCAACCATCAATTTTGAATAAATTAGCTTTAATATTTACTGATTTATCGAGGATTTCGTATTTTTCTAAATTACCNTTTGCCTGTTACAAACAACCGTTATGTGAACAAAGTTATAATACCCTTGTACACAAGTGCGCTCGGGTATAAAAATCGAACTTTTGATTCTAAATCTTAAGAACATTTTTGGGTGTCCAGTTTTATGGCCCAAAAAACTATAGTATAATAAAGTGTAAGTTTCAAGGGGCCACAAATCGGGTTGATGTAGGAGAGTAGCGCTCTGATGTCGTCAATAAGTGGCGCGCTTCTCGCGCCGATGAGTATCGCTCCGGTGATGCCGGAGAGTAGCGCTCTAATCATGCCTTTGAGTGGTGCTCTGTTCGCGCCGATGAGTGGCGCTCTAGCGATGCTGGAGGGTTGCGCTCTGGTCGCGCCAGTAATGTCGCTCTCTGTTCACACCGATGACTGGCGCTCTGTTCGCGCCGATGATGTCGCTCCTTGTTAACGCAGATGAGTGGCTGTTGACGTCGCTCTGCTGACGCTGACCGCGGATGTCGTCCGTACGCGTTTTCACGAAGGGCTGAGAGCGAAGGGTTGCGCTCTGGTCGCGCCAGTAAAGTCGCTCTCCGTTCGCGCCGACGAGTGACGTTCTAGCGATGCCGGAGGGTTGCGCTCTGATCGCGCCAGTAATATCGCTCTCCGTTCGCGCCGATGACTGGCACTCTAGCGATGCCGGAGGGTTGCGCTCTGGTCGCGCCAGAAATGTCGCTCTCTGTTCACACCGATGAGTGGCGCTCTGTTCGCGCCGATGACGTCGCTCCTTGTTAACGCCGATGAGTGGCTGTTGACGTCGCTCTGCTGACGCTGACCGCGGATGTCGTCCGTACGCGTTTTCACGAAGGGCTGAGAGCGTGGGTGTCGCTACCACTAGGAAAGGTGACGTCCATCCCGACGATTTAAGCTGGCGCAGAAGAAATCACCCTTCCCAACAGCTGTTGCAGAAATGAAATCAAGCCCGTCGATTCTAGCCGGCACATATGAAATCGCTTCTTGCCAATAGCCGCCTGTTCACGACCACAGTCTCGTGCTGACCACAGTATACCAGTAGAAAAGTTTTTTGTTGTTGTGGCTGTTAATTTGGTCCCCATAAAGGACTTGAGGGTTGCGAGCAACTGTGTTGCCGCATTCAGGGTGCTGTGCAGCAAAATAATGTGGTGAAAAATTTTAGCATCGGATAAATAGCGAGAGAAATATTATTATGCGCTTTAGAAGCAAACATGAACGTAATAAAGTATTTTATACTTCAATACAATAAATTAGCGATATTTTTGCGATTCGAAGTGATCTTAAAAATATTTGTAGTGAAATAAGTACCGAGTTAAATGGAAACTATGTTATATGTAAAAATATATTCCGATTTACTTCAAATAAATGGTGTAAAATGTTTTATATATGGATCAAATTTTAATAATAATATTTATTTATTTCATCTACATTGCTTTTATTGTATTTTTTCACGAGTAGTTGTAGTTTTCTGCAATTGTCTATGGCCGACTATACACGTTAAAGCTAAATAATTTAACAATTTCTACAGTATTATAGGTTTACATATTTTAATAAAATTTGACCAATTACATAAGAATATATAAACTCCGATCAAACTATAGTACTGAATGCTTGAGAGACAATTATTTAAATCAAATGATCAATAGTGAACGCACAAGGAGCGAATTATGCATATTAAGACTAAATAATTTCTAACTTTCTACCATATTATACGTTTATGTTTTAATGTAATATGATTAATTACTGAAGAATATATGAACTCCGATCAGACTTCACAACTGAATGCTTGACCAGTGTTGCCAGATTTTTTTTGTAGCGCATCCCCATATCGAGCTTCAGTTATCCCCAAAAAATCCCCATTTGTCTCCTAAATCCCCATTTAAATCCCCTTAAGTATGAAATAAAAAAATATGTATTCTTATTTCTGTTAGTTCATTTTAATTGGGAGTTTTCGGTTACAAATTTTCACAGATTTATATTTGTACATATTTACATATGTGATCATTTGGTGATTTAGTTTTATGGTTTTTGGAGACTATTTAATAACATACCTTTGGTCCAAGGTTCCTCTTCCCATTGCTGTCTGTAAATTCATCAAATTAGTATGTTTTTTTATGCGCTTGCCACTTTGAAAATTTCTTTTTACACTAAATAATAATAATAATAATAATAGATTGACGCTTACACATATGTTAGTGTTTGGCCGAGCTTCTCCTCTGATTTGTGGCGTGCGCCTTGATGCTGTCACANATAAAATATATGTATTTTAATTTCAATATGAATATTTTAAATCAAATAAAAATCCCCATCAAATCCCCACATCGCCAAACGGAAAAATCTATCCCCAAATTGTTTCAGAAATCCCCAAAATGGGGCGAAATCCGCACATCTGGTACCACTGTGCTTGACAAACAATGTTTAAATCAAAAGATCAATAGTGAACGCGCTCGGAGCAAATTTTGGAACACTTCATAAAATATTTACAGAGGTAAACAGAGGAAAGTTACAGAGTATATTATTTGGTAGAGATCAAAATGTATTTAACAAAGTGTGATTGAATTTGACAATGCTCTCAGAAGAACCAACCTATAAAGTCAAATTGAAATAAAGTGTGTGAGGATTTTGTATCGTTTGTTTATATTTTTTGACATAATAGTACCTTAAAAGAGAGTCGCAGTGAATTGTCAATTACCACGTTTATACGTAAGCTATTTGCAAATAAAAATAATTTGAAAATACCTGACTGTTTATTGGACGGTGAAAAATTCTTATTTAATATTGCCTGATTATAAAAAGGCAATAATATGACGAAAAAGAAAATAAAGTTAAAAAGGGCAACGTCTTGATTAAAAAAGGCAATAAGATGACCATCGAAAAAGAAAATAAACCTAAGAATGGCGGCGCCTTGCGATAATATGCAAATAGTATCACTAATCAATACTTATTTGCGTGATTTAGTTAGTTAGTTAGTTTAGTTATAAAAAATTAACTCAGCGTTTATACGGCAAAGTTTACCATTTGGCAAAACGCTCGCTCAATTCGTCGGCCATCATTTATCTTTTGAAGTTTGTCTACTTTATAAAATTGACTCAAATGCCAAATAAAAGTAAAACAAAAAACAAATAGATGAAAATATTCAAATTTTTTTATTTGAGACTGAAAATGAGAATGTATTTGTGAGATTGACAATTTGAAAACATTTTAGTTATGTTAGCATACTTTAAAAATGTTCAGGCTGCCTCTCAGCGGTTTTACCTTCAAATTTTTGTATCATGAATACACCTTGGTCCTTTATTTATTTTTACCTAAAATCTTTAAATATTTATCTTGATTTTTTCCTGTAGATTACGTATTCATTTTTTTTAACCGATTTTAAAAAAGGGAGGACAGTCTGGTCTACGTAACTAGAACGGCCGGAATGCGCATTGAAGTCGGTTGTATTTTTTGCTTAAAATTATGTGTTACTAGCTTATACCCGCGGGATTCACCCCGCGCTTTTATACAAATATGAAAAATAATTTAATGATGTTAGATGTAAGTTTACCTCAAAATGGTCGTCGTCGTATACCTGGACGCGTGAACGTGTAACCTTCTTGGAGGTGCCACGGCGGGTTTTAATATTTCCAACTCAAATTTAGTAACCTGGCCTTGATAAAATACCACTTCTCATTACTGTAGCAAATGCCTCAAGAGAGCTTTAGATTATAAGGCCAAACCCGGCTCTCCCTTTTCCATTTAGTGAAATTTATTCTGTCAGTACGGCACTTATAAAATAAATATCCATAACAAATTTAAAATACTTCGAGAGATTTTATATTCTTCCAGAGATATGTATTAAGAAGTTTTTAGTATGTATGGGAGGCGACATGCCTCCTTTTTTAATAACTCACATTTTTTCCATGAGCAATTCATACATTTTGCATACACAACTCCATACCAAGTTCCAGTATTCTTCCACAAACACTTCCAGGGATATGTGGCAAGAAAAAGTAAATTTGTACTGGAAGTGCCACGCCCCTTTTTCTTATAACCCTAATCTTCTTCCATGAATTTAGAATTGATTTTACATACCCCAGTACCAAGTCCCAGTACTCTACCATGAACACCTCTAGAGATAAGCAGTATAAAACAGTAAATTTGTACGGGAGGAACCATGTCCCCTTTTCGAATAACGCAAATTTTTCTCCATGAGTATGGAATTAATTTTGTATACACATCTCGGTTCCAAGTTCCAGTCCTCATGCAGCATAGAAAAATCAATTTGCATGCACCTTTTCCAATAACTCACATTTTTCTCCATGAGTATGGTATTACTTTCACATACATACATACAAATGT